AATCAGATCAGCAGCAACATGAAACAGATCAGCAGCAACATTGAAACAGATCAGCAGCAACATTGAAAAAGATAAGCAGCAACATGAAACTGATCAGCAGCAACATGAAACAGATCAGCAGCAACATGAAACAGATCAGCAGCAACATGAAACGGATCAGTAGCAACATGAAACGGATCAGCAGCAACATGAAACAGATCAGCAGCAACATGAAATGGATCAGCAGCAACATGAAATGGATCAGTAACAACATGAAACTGATCAGCAGCAACATGAAACGGATCAGCAACAACATGAAACAGATCAGCAGCAACATGAAACAGATCAGCAGCAACATGAAACAGATCAGCAGCAACATGAAATGGATCAGCAGCAACATTGAAACAGATCAGCAGCAACATGAAACTGATCAGCAGCAACATGAAACTGATCAGCAGCAACATTGAATTGGATCAGCAGCAACATAAAACGGATCAGCAGCGACATGAAACGGATCAGCAGGAAACATTGAAACAGATCAGCAGCAACATGAAACTGATCAGCAGCAACTTGAAATGGATCAGCAGCGACATGAAACAGATCAGCAGCAACATGAAACGGATCAGCAGCAACATTTAAACAGATAAGCAGCGACATGAAACAGATCATCAGCAACATGAAACGGATCACTAGCAACATTGAAATGGATCAGCAGCAACATTGAGTCAGATCAGCAGCAACATGAAACAGATCAGCAGCAACATGAAATGGATCACAGCAGCAACATGAAACAGATCAGCAGCAACATTGAAACGGATCAGCAGCAACATGAAACTGATCAGCAGCAACATGAAATGGATCAGCAGCAACATGAAATGGATCAGCAGCAACATGAAAGAGAGCAGCAGCAACATGAAATGGATCAGCAGCAACATGAAACAAATCAGCAGCAACATGAAATGGATCAGCAGCAACATGAAATGGATCAGCAGCAACATGAAACTGATCAGCAGCAACATGAAACTGATCAGCAGCAACATTGAAACAGATCAGCAGCAACATTGAAACAGATCAGCAGCAACATGAAACAGATCAGCAACAATATGACACAGATCAGCAGCAACATGACACAGATCAGCAGCAACATGAAACAGATCAGCAGCAACATGAAACAGATCAGCAGCAACATGATGTGTTTTTTCACAGTGATTATTCTGGTTAGAGATTCATGAGTCTAACAGCCTCAGGGTAGAAGCTGTTCCTCAGTCTAGTGGTTCTACACTTAATGCTCCTCAACCTCCTTCCTGAGGGGAGCGGGGCAAAAAGTGTGCATGCTGGGTGAGTGTGGTCCTTCATGATGCAGGTGGTCCTCTTCCTGCATCTGGAGGTGTAGATGTCTGTGATGGTGGGGAGACTGACTCCAACATCTTCTGTGCAGCCTTCACCACTCTCTGCAAAGCTTTTCTTTCTGCAGCTGTGCAGCCTCCATGCCACACGTTGATGCTGGAGCACAGGATGCTCTCCACTGCACACCTGTAGAAGGAGGTGAGGACTGAGCTTCCCAGACCAGCTCATCTCAGCCGTCTGAGGAAGTAGAGTCTCTGATGAGCTTTCTTGATCAGGCTGGTGGTGTTGTTGCTCCAGCTGAGGTTGTTTAGAGAAGCATCTCAGCTAAATGTTACAAAAAAGTTAAAAATAAAATAATAGTGTTTTTGTCAATGAATTTGAAGAAAACATCTGTACAGTAGTCCTACGCTACTACGCAGTTCAACGTTTGCGGACTCACTGTTTCACTAGTTTCAATGTAAGACTGTACATGACACACGATTGGCTGATTGATGGAAGGCGACCAACCAGAGCATTGTTCTCTGTATCCCAGATGTTGATTGGCTCAGTAACCGTAGCACTAGTCTGTATGCTCTTTTGTGAAGAAGCAGCACCAGCAACTCCCCATAACTATGTTCATCACTCGAATACGACTATAACTTGCAGGATGGTGCTCCTCAAGGACCAGGGCTGGGAACCCCTGATTTATATGATAGAACTGCTTGCCATCCATGTACCTTTTGCCTCCCTCTGCTGCTGGTGTAGGTGATCTGCAGCTCTGTGGAGCTTTCTGTTTGACACAGCTGGCTGTACTTGATTTCAACATAAGACAGGTGTTTGCTTTTATGTGTTCTTCTGAAGCAGCCATAGTCTCTGAGTTTAGCTAGTGTCTTTGCTTCTTTTTTGGGGCTCATATGAAAATGCATTTAATGAATCTGAGGTTACCACTTGTGACTGACGTATTCAAAGTCAGTTCACTGAACCTATTCAAAATGTCTGTACCAAACCGTCACAGTACAAATACATACATGTGCATACAAACCGTTACACTTGTAGTTTTGACATTTGCTTCCCAGCATATTCAGTTTAGATGTAGCTGATTCCTGCGTGTGTGTCCTTTAGATGTGATGTACGTGTCGGCAGCAGGCAGTATGCTTTGTCAGATAATCATCTCGCTGCTGCTCCTTCCGGTGTCGGTGGTAAGGCCGCTGCTGAGCCATCTGCTGGACCTGCTGCCTCCTCTGGACCGCCTGAACAGACTGCTGCCAGCTGCCTCCCCTCTGGAGGACCAGGAGCTCCAGTGGCCTCTTCATGGTGAGAGGCAGTCGGACGTGGCTGAACACGGGTCACTTCACATACTTTAGTGTTGAAATGTACTGCATGCTGTCCAGTGTGTCATGTGATGCTTTGGAAATGTGTTCAGTAGTTGAGCCACTCACTCAACTATCAGTGTGAGCCGGCACTAACATCAGGTAGTCTAAAAAACAACAACCCCAAAGCAACTGGTTTCTGTTCTGTAACTGGGAACCATCTGAAGGCAGAACCTCAGGAGGGTCTTTAATGTAGCCCCCCCACAAAAGTTATGTCAGAACGACCGGCTCAGCACCGTGATGTGTGCTGTTACTTTGATTGATGGGTGAGGTTACCATGGCAACGCAATTTTCCAACAAAGACGCCATTTTTCTCCTTAAAAACACTGAGAGAACTCTTCACAGCCTCTAACTGACACAGGGAGGTCACATGACCTAAAGTGAAGAGGTCTCTGAACAAAACACTGATTGACTTTTGGAGCCATTTTGATTCAAGATGGCCACCACACTTACCTCAGAAAACTCAGAATTGGCTGTAACTCTGTCATTCTGTGAGATATTGAGCTGACATTTGTTTTGACTGTAGCTGAGAGTGACTTGTTGTACATTCCTGATGCAAAGGTACATTTAAATGGTTTTAACTCTGTTATTTTTACACATACAGAGCTGAAACTTGATGTGGTTATAGCTGAGGACATTCCCCATCACAAACTGAATCCAAATAAAATAATCCAAGATGGCTACCAAAGCTTAAAAGATTAAATGACTATAACACATTGGTGTTTTGCTATGCTGAGCTGAAGTTTGGTGTACTGGTAGCTGAGAGCGAACCCAAACAGAGCGCTGCCAAATTTAAAATGATTCTGGTCGCCACGTGGCAGTCCCCATCTCAGTTTCTCCAGGATCCTTCTCGTTAGGCGTTTGTCTTCCCATGTGGGAGTTAATGAAAACCTGCAGAGAGCTGAATTCTGTGCTATAAACTCATGACACTGGTATTAATAATATCAAGAGTTGGATTGATTTTCATATCCATGTTGCAGTGATGTAAAAGTTGGATGAAACACGAGACATGGTGGTTCAGGTTGACTTTATTTTGTAAACCTTCAGATCAAATTCAGTGCCACTTATGAAGGAGTCCTGGGTCAGGCTTGTGGAAACTGGATTTGTCATGTTCGTATTGTCTTAAAACTGTAAGACGTGTTCACATGTAAACAAATCAGATTTGGGCCGCACTTGCCTGCAGTTGATTCAATGTTTTATTCCTACCTATCCAGGCACTTCGGACTTTGCTGAGCCAGCCTCAGGAATGTTGCTGCCGCAGCCCCTGCTCACCTGGGTGTGGCTCGTAGACCTGGAGAGGACTGTTGCCTTGCTGGTGGGCCGCTGCCTTGGGGGGATGCTGCAGGGAGCTCCCACCTCTCTGGAGGAACGGGATAGTTCTTACTGGCTCAAAACACCACTGTTCAGCAATGGCCTGGAGATGGACGTCCCGCAGCTTGGTATGGAAATCTGAATAATCTCTCAAACACAAACACGTGATTTAAAATTACAAGATGGACTAGTCTGGTTGGTCCAAAACTTCAACGTTGTGACATCACACTATTTGTGAAAAATGCTTTACCTTGGCCCTAAATAAAGGAAATAGAAATAAAAATGTTTGTGTTAGTATAAATACAAGATGGTCTTGTAGATGTGCATTTCAGCCTAGAAAGAATCCACAGGAAAAGGATCTGGGTCACAGCTTTACCGGAACTAATGAATAGACAAGAATTTGACAGCAGAGGGGGTGTGGCAGGTGAGGCAGCGTGCGGACCGGTGAAGCTCCCGAGTTCTCCCGGGATAACTGAAGCTGGGCTTCGTGCTCAAGTTACACCCAACTCTGGAGGGAAGAAGACGACTCCCATGTTAACGCAAAGTGCCACACGGGGAAGGATCGGTCCGGATTCCCTGGAGCGATTTTGGTGGAGAGCGCTCCAGGTCTAAAGAAGGAAACCCGGGACAGAGACGCCAACCCGGTGACACGTTTCCTTATTATCAGTTTTTTTGTTTCTGTTTGGAGAGACCGGAGGATCTTATGGGCCCAACGAGTTTTCTTTTCTGAATATTTTTTGAGTGTTAATTGCCAACTTTTTATTGGGACAATAAGAGAGATCTCTCTTGGGAATATAAGAACTTGAATTATTTCGGAGACTATCATGATCATGAAGATGTGCTTGTGTAACTGATTATGTCTGAATATTGATTGGAACAGCTGATTTTTGTTAGATTAATATATCGAGCCTCGACCAACAGCACCTTGAACTTGACGTGTCCAACTTGATTTTTTACTTCTTTTCTTTATTTCCTCTTTTCATTGGTCTTCCTAATGTTTATTTAGGACGGTCCAGTGTTATACTCAGTTTCTTAATATTTTCAAAATAGTTAAAAGGACTCTCTTGAGCGTGTACAAGCTCACCTTTAGATGGGAGATTGTTACAACGTTTTGGTATAATAAATATCCAACACATTATTTAAATTACAAAAATAAATGTGACATCAGCTCCTCCAAATCCGAGGCCATGGTCCTTCAGTCAGAAGAGGCTGAATGGCCTTCTAAGGGTTGGGGGTGAGATGCTGCCTGAGTGGAGGAGTTCAAGTATCTCTGGGTTTTTTCACGAGTGAGGGAAGAATGGAGCGTGAGATCAGCAGACGGATCGATGCAGCTGCAGCAGCACTGCGGACTCTGTGCCAGTCCGTTGTGGTGAAGAGGGAGCTGACTTTAAGGCAAAGGTCTCTGTTTACAGTCAGTCCAGATATAGGTCCAGGTCCAGATATAGGTCCAGGTCCAGATATAGGTCCAGG